TATATATATATATATATATATATATATATGTCTGATGAAATTATTAATCATTAATATCTTTACAGAATTAAAGCGTTAAAGGTGAAATTAAAATTTTTCGAAAATGTTTTTATTTTTATGTTAAATGCCAAATTTATTTATTAAAATGTTGGTATAATTACTGCTGTAAGTGGGTTGCTCTGTCAGATAAGGGCATACTCCAGTTAAGGATTAACCCCTTAAGCTCAGAGGGTTTTAGTAGCAATTTCTGCCTGAAACTTGAATGGTAGAAATGTAAAAAAAAACAAAAAAAAAAAAAACAAGTTTGTATAATGCAAAGTCATTACAGAATATTTTTCAATTGGAACCACATCATAGAAACCCCTTTTAAACTCTGGATGAAGCCTCAGAATATATAGAACCCATCCATCCGTTTTCTGTCACACTTTATCCAAGGTGGGGTTGTTAGGGGTGCTGGTGCCTATCTCCCGCTGTCTACGGGCGAGAGGTCACCAGTCCATCGCAGGGCAACACTGAGAAAAACAGGACAAAACCATTCTTGCACACATTCACACCTAAGGAGACTTTAGAGAAGCCAATTAACCCAACAGTCCTGGATTTGGACTTTGGGAGATTTATAGAAACTCATCTTACAAATGATTGCAGCAAATTTGGACTGAATCGATTGAAGCATATTCGTTCCACAAAGTTTTAGTTGACAGTGTGGCAGGTGGGTGTGTGGTTTTGGCACCGATCTGCCAAGTGTGTCCAAATGGATTTTTTTTTCCTAATACAATCTGGATCTGGTCTTATTAAAGTGCTGATTTTAAAGGCGGTACCACTCCTGCATGTAAATAGTTTATTCATAAGATTTCACTGTGTTTTATTAAATTTTTTTCCCCATCAGATTAGAAGATACTTATGTCCAACTATACAACAGAAATAGCCAGAAAAAAGTTTATATATAAAATGTTGCTGTGTGGATAATATATAAAAGCTTTATAAAGTTGTCTGAATCAGTTCCACATTCTGTAGTTACAATGAGGAGAGGGTGGGTGGAAACCGGAGTCATTGTAAAGATTTTTTTTTTAAATATATTACTGGATTAGCATTATTTCCTACTCTTATCTATGCGTCCAATTTTCGAAATAGCAGACGTGTTGTAAAAAATCTAAAAATAAAAGATTATGGTGGAACACATTCATAAAGAATCTCTGCGGATCATCTGCGTGAGAATCATAACTGTTGTAAAGAGGCTGTGGGAAACGGGACAAATTGGAACGTTTTTCTTACTAGATCAGCATTATTAAAGACATTTAATGTAGATGAGCTGAAACATAAACTTTATAGCAGATTTTGTTCAGACACTGGGTCTCTGTGGAGCACTTCCTGATCTACCGTGACAAAATGCAAGCTGTTAGGGGTTTTTTTTCAGTCTTTTTTCAACCTGAAAAATAAAAGTATATATTTTGTTCTGGTCTAACAGTAAGAAACAGCAGCACATATTGAAACAACAAGTCTATGGATCATTTTCTCATCTTGGACATCAGTATCAAAACTCTGAATTATCAGCCTCTAAAGACGCATGGAGACAAACAGGATTTATTATACTTTTTCATTATCTGATCAGAATTATTTCCTACTATATTTATGTGCCCTATTTTTGAAATAACAGGCCAGTTATGTAAACTGCAAATGGAAAGAGAAACTTAATCACAGAGCTGCTCTTCATGAATAATTTCCTCATCTTCAGTATCAAAGAGCCATCGGTTCTTCAGATATTCGTCTGAAAATGTCCTCCAAAGCATCCCAGTATTTAATTTTCTTCTTCTGTACTGTTGTGATATTTTATTATAATCAGAGAAGAGAAACAACACTGCAAAGATTGACAATGCTGAGCTTGCAGCTGCTTAAACAGTGTTTAAGTCCTGGATAAATCTGCCTGTGGAGACTCTTAAAACGGTTAATCCTGATGCAGTCCACATGAAACTCGCCTAACTCTTAAATTTACTTATAATACAGTCCCAACAAAAATGCAGTTTGTATTTGGTTTCTGCATCTTTTTCGGTCAAAGTCTTTCCTTCAACTCAATTTAGATACAGATACGCTTAGATACAGCCCCTTATGAAAAGTCATGTTTCTTAGAAGTGACTTTTTGTGACTGCTAAAAGGGGAAAAAAAGACTAATTTAGCTACCAAAAATGTTAAAGTTACAGTAATCATTACTTAGAATATATCCTTCTGCAAGCAATAAATCACTGTCTGTATTTATTCTCTTTGTAAATTTTAGTGTAAATTGCTGGAGCAGCATGTGGAAATGGGGGAGCTATTGAAAGAGTTCGACAGCGTCCCAAAGCGTCTTCCAGGTGGGGAGTGCACCATCGCCCAGCTTCCAGAAAACAGGGATAAAAACCGCTTCATCGATGTCCTGCCTTACGACAATACGAGAGTGGAGCTGGTTCCCACTAAAGAAAACAACACGGGCTACATCAATGCGTCACACGTTAAGGTAAGAATACAGAACTTTACAGACCTGTGAGCTTATGATGGAAACAAAAGCTGACATGGAGATGCAACAAATAAGTTAAATAAGGACTTCAAATGTGAATTCATCCTCTGAATTCACATTTTAAGAATCAATTTTAAATGTTATCCAGTCCTAAATTGGATTAGTGGTTTTATAAACATGTTTTTAGCTGTTACCTGAATAAATGATTATTTAGTTATGCATTATAATGATACTAATATTTTATTAACATTCAGCAGAATATTATTAAAGTAATAGTTAATGGCGGTTGTAAGGACAGTGGAAATGCATTTTAAAAGATCCTTGGTTATATGGAATGCATAAGAACCCATTCAGAATTGAAAAATTGAGAATTTTTCACACAGCCCTACATAAAACTGCTGCCTTTCCTTGTTTATTTGTATTTTTGTCACTTTCTCTGACCTCCTACCCTCATCTGTGGTCTTATCAGGTAACATTAGCTGGACAGGAGTGGAGTTACATAGCTGCACAGGGTCCCCTGTCACACACATGTTCAGACTTTTGGCAGATGGTGTGGGAGGAAGGTGTTGCCATCATTGCCATGGTCACGGCCGAAGAGGTGGGTTCGTTTTCGTTTTTAAATGCAGTTTAATTTAATTTATTAGGGTCAGATACTAAAACCATAGAAAAAAATTATGATAATACTAATATGTCAGATCAAATTATTAATTTATTAACTATTTGACTTGAAATTAGGCAAATGTTTTCCTTTTTTTTATGCATCTTAAAAATGTTTTCGGATAATATCTTTTTCATAAAAGTCAAAATGATAAGAGATGCATTTTCCGTTTATTGGCATGAGTTAAGTAAAGTAGTAAAAGTAAAGTTAAGTAGTTATGTAATTGATCATGGCTTTAAGCTTCTCCTCATTTCGGGTAAATAGAGGCACACCTGTGAATGTATGTTCAGGTTGCTCTTTATACAAGTTGCTTCCTGGTCTGACAACTTGGAAAGTAATCTAGAGAAACAACTGAGATAACAGGAAGAGAATGAGTCAGGTTTATTCTTTAATGTAACCTGAGGGTACCCGAAATGGCAACATGTGTCTTTGGAAGGATGGGTATTGTTAGGAATTTATCTCTACTACGCTTTAACAATACTTTTTATTGAGACCTTTTTTATTAAACAGAGGGGTAAATAAAATAAATGAGTGCTGAACTATTTTTTTTCATATTTGGAACAAAAACACAAATTTAATTAGAGGCACAAAATAACTTTTTTTTTTTGAATGACTTCATATGTAAACCAAAGGCTAAGACATGTATTTTAAATATAACTTAAGCATTACTGAAGCATTAAGCAAATATGTTTGTCCTAATCCTAACTGACCTAAAACAGAAAAAGTTTGATCAGAAAGTCAGAAAACTTAATAGATTGAATTATTTACATAACGTTGTATTTTCAAATCTGAAGTACAGTGGCATAAAGAATTCTGTCAAAGATCTGGAAGGGGCCATTTGTCACACCTAAGATATTTTTGTTTCAGATCATCAAACAGATTTAAATATAACTTCTATAAATATATAAACAAAAGCTCAAATATTATACGTAAAATTAAAGAATTTGTCATATAACTGTAGAGGTGAGGATTAGCAAAATTAGCAGCACAAAGTGATTAGAAACGCTGTAAATATTAATAAACTAAAAATATAAACTTTCATGAATATATTGCTTGAACCCAAATTACATATATAAATGTTTTATATGATGAAATGCAACCTTAAAAATAGCAGAAACACCTACAGTGGATGTAAATATTTGGTGACAAAGGTTGTGTGAATAAATAACTGGCAGGAAATTTTTTAAGTGAGGAAGTTTCAGAAAGAATGAAAACAAACAGATAAGTTAAAGGTTATGTTGATGTTTTTATTCATATCCTGCTTTGTAATCCAGGGTTGAATCAGTGGAAGTTTTTTAAAAGACCCGCCCTCTCCTTTAAAAAAAAAAAAAAAAATGAGCGTGCGAGACCATAAACGAGCCCATTTCTCCTTTTGCACGCTCTTTTTAAAAGTTGCTGTTAGCTCATAAAAGCTAACTGTGCCCGAACGTCCGCCCTAACCGCTAAATCCCTCAATCACTATATTGAGCGGGGACTATATAGTGGACTTTATAGAGAACTCGGTTAACTGACAGATGATCACTACTTTTTGCTCAGTTTTTCACGTAACTCCTCCTCTACTGTGTGGTGCATGCGCCATCTTTGTTAATAGTCGCCGTGTCGGGTAGTGGCAGCTTATGGCGACAGTGGCCCGCTGTGACAGCAAACCCCATAATGCATTGTGAGGAGACCTCTCCGCGCAAAGCATTCTGGGATATATCTGCCTCTTCTGAGGCCTTTCTTTTCTNAAAAAAAAAAAAAAAAATGAGCGTGCGAGACCATAAACGAACCCATTTCTCCTTTTGCACGCTCTTTTTAAAAGTTGCTGTTAGCTCATAAAAGCTAACTCTGCCCGAACGTCCGCCCTAACCGCTAAATCCCTCGATCACTATATTGAGCGGGGACTATATAGTGGACTTTATAGAGAACTCAGTTAACTGACAGATGATCACTACTTTTTGCTCAGTTTTTCACGTAACTCCTCCTCTACTGTGTAGTGCATGCGCCATCTTTGTATAGTCGCCATGTCGGGTAGTGGCAGCTTATGGCGACAGTGGCCCGCTGTGACAGCAAACCCCATAATGCATTGTGAGGAGAGCTCTCCGTGCAAAGCATTCTGGGATATATCTGCCTCTTCTGAGGCCTTTCTTTTCTTATACACTGCATAGACACTTTTTCTCTTACGACCCTCGGCCATTTTCAAAGAACCACAGTGAGAAAGTCGAGCTTCGATGACTGAAACCGTAGCTCACCACAAATGTATAACTGAAAGTGCGCATGAGCACAAAATATAGCTAACTGTTTACGTAAGGCATGTAGGATGGCCTTATGTAAACATATCACCGGAATGATTGACAATTAGGAGGACCAATTCTTTAGATGATCAACCCGGAAATAAAAGGTCATCCTCTATACCTTTAAGTCGAATGTTCCCTTAAAAATTGAATGTGATGTAAATGACGTAAAGGACAGTGGCCCCACTCCCAGTCATGTTGACACAGGATTATAATATTGATCCTTATTTTGAATCATTTTGAAAGTTGTATTAAAAAACTTTAAAGCCCATTCCTGAAGGGCATGTGGGTGGAAAAAAACGTTTTTCACATGAAAGTTTTTCCTGCAGGAAAGCGGCCGAGAAAAGAGTTTCCGTTACTGGCCGAGACTCGGCTCCCGTCACAACACGGTGACCTACGGACGGTTCAGGATAACCACGCGCTTCCGAACAGAATCGGGCTGCTATGCCACCACAGGGCTGAAGATCAAAAACCTGGTGAAAGAACAAGAGAGGACGGTCTGGCACCTTCAGTACACAGACTGGCCTGACCATGGCTGTCCAGAGGACTTTAAAGGCTTCCTCAGTGAGTGGAACAAGTCTGTCAACTATAGTCACATCCTATGTGTGATTTACTTAAAAGAATTCAATCAAATATTTCTAACCGTTGCTTTGTCTGAATACATCTCCAGCGTACCTAGAGGAGATTCAGTCTGTGAGGAGACATACAAACGCCATCAGTGACCCAAAGAACACCAACCCAGTGCTGGTCCACTGCAGTGCAGGAGTGGGTCGTTCAGGGGTTGTCATCCTTTCTGAGATCATGATAGCTTGTCTGGAGCACAATGAGGTAACATGACTGAGAAGAAGGGAAACCAGCTATCTTTTTTTTGTTTTTTTTGGTCTTTATGTACCACTAAAAAATGTGTGTTTTTCAGGTGCTGACAGTCCCAGAAGTCCTGAGGCTGCTGCGTGATCAGAGGATGCTGATGGTTCAGACACTGTCGCAGTATACTTTCGTCTACAAGGTCCTCATCGAGTACCTCCGCAATTCCCGGCTCATCTGATGGGCGACCCATCGCGGAATTCTGCAGAGAGGTTTTATGGAAAACTGCTCCTAGCTGTTAAAGTGTGGATACCAAAACCTGGACCCTATTTTTGCCAAGTATTAAATAGGTTTTATTCTAAGAAGTGAAATGACAATTTAGGAGACGAAAACGCCACATGAAGAAATTAAGACTGTGACCTGCCTCTTAACAGTATTACCTGAAGAGATTATTTTTTTACATACACATTGTTTAATAAAGCCCAGCACTTTGATAGTACCATGTAAGTACATGATGAAGCAATACTAAGCTACAGAGGACAAACGTTCTATTGTACATGTCACTGAAACGGTCATGTTTATTTGATGAAGGATTAATTACAAATGGATGCGTCTGAATAATAATAAAAAAAGTCTCTAAAAATATTATCTATTTAATTTGACTCTAAAAATGAAACTCTAAATGGAAATATTTCACAGTGATACATTTCAAATATTTATTAGCCAACAGGTCAAATAAAATTCAGTTCCTTTGAAAATTTTAATATTACCTAACGGCAACAAAAGTTGGCGTACAAAAAAAAACAATTCCCACCTACTTTAGATTTTATGCAGTCAGGTCCTTAAGCATTGATTATCAGTGGAGAGGATCAGTCTGTGGCTCCGACGTATTGTGGAAGCCCAGGTTGCTATGGTAACAGCCTTAAGCTTTCTCCTCTTCCTCTTAACATTCACCCCATAATTCCCTGCAGGGTGATTTGCTGCCCAAACATGCAGATACCAGTAGTTTGGACAAAACCAAAGTTCTATCAATTGAAAAAGATCTGGATGCTTGATTTCAAAATAAGATGCAAAATGTGATTTGCCTTTTTCAGACAAACAATACAGTGTATGTTCATCACTGTTGCTTTTGCATCTTTTTTGGTCAAATTTCTTTTAAAATACTCTGATTGAAAAACAAAAGCTTTGCGTCTGCAGCGATGAGTGCACCAAAGTCAGCAGTCTTTGGCATGACTGTAGGTCATTACAAACATTCTTGTAATTAAAAACAAAACCCAAGTGGTTTAGGTGATATAACTTTTGGTTCAAACTGAAATTTTCTTAGCTGTAATCAAAAATCACTTCAAATATATCACGGTGGAATTAATCTGTATGAGTTTCATTTTTTGATTTGAATTTTTTGGGGTTGGGTTTCACTGTACGGATGTACTGTTGCACAAAGGAGGGACTTCTCTGTCTGTTGGTTAGTTTTAAGCTAAGGTTGTTTCCCAAAGTTATTTTCATTAACAAACAAAAAAAAACATCTAATGCATCTGAAAAGTTCAACAAACGGACTGGTCTTTGTGCAACACTGGATGAAAGCAGATTGAAAAATATAGAAGAGGGATGGGGGGATATTTATTTTTTAAAAAGTCTGGTTTTTGGGTTTAAAGCAATTTTTATTTTTTTTTTTTTGTATTTAAAGACTTACCGTTGATTTGTGTTGCTGTAACTGAAATAAATGATATTCTTTCTAAGCTGTAAAGTGCCTCTACAGTGGGCACCGCAGAGCGTGTCGGCTTCAGAAAGTGATGGACGTGCTTCTAATTAAGTGTAATTTATTGAAGTGATAAAGTTTTTGTAAAGGCGATTTGAATGAAATTGGTGATTTATTTTTCTTGTTCCTGTAAAAATCAGCCTGTGCAGCAGCCTGTCAGGTTCTGTCTGTTTCCAGCACAGACGACAAAGGACTCCTCCCACATTACGCTGACTGCTAATGATAGCAAAAAGAAATCAGCATTTTGGCTGCTCAGAAACAATGTTAATAGCTCTACTTTTTTTCCCCCTTTAATGATGGTGCCAACTTGTTGAGACGGCTTGGTTGATGTTGACAAGTATTTTTAATACGTGAAGAAAAACACAGGTTTTCTCAACTTAAAAACGTTTCTCCATGTACAGGTGTAAATCTTGAATATTGTAAAAATGTTTATTAACTGAATGTTACTGAGGAAAGCATTAAAAAAAAAATTTTTGTATTTAGCCATTTTTTTTTCAGCCTTATTTTATGCGGTTGTAATAATGCATTGAAGAATCATTAATAAAAGAGGCCTTTATTAATTTAAATCCACTATGAGGGTTCCTATTACAACATGTAGGCCTACTTTTTGTAGCATCTTCACAATAATACAAATTCATAAAGCAGTCATGTGAAATAAAAAAAAAAGAAAATTCCCTTAATGCACAGCTTTTAAGCTTCAGATGTAAAACTAATGGTTCTTACAGGTTTCAGTCTAATTCATCTATGACATATCAGCAGTGGCTGTATTTACAGTGCAGGTCAGAAGTTTGCATCCTCATGTTTTTTTAGGCTTTTGATTACTTATTTAATAAAAAAAAGAAATACACTTTTTCCTCCCATAAAATACCAAATTAAAATGAACCACATGCTTTTTGTCACTACTGGCTTGTAGAAACAATTCCTAGATGTTTAGTCCCAAAAGTTGAAAGTGATTTTAATTAAAAAATCAAAATGTCCTGTCAGGAAGACTACTAAGTTAGTTAAAACCATCTACCAAGGCCCAAGCCTGCCATCTAGTGGAAGAAACTGCAAAAACTAGTGAGGAATGTTTATAATAAACACAAAGTTCAGCTGAAGTTTCTAGAGATAGACAACCTCTTGAAGAAACACCAGACATCAGGAGACTTATTTTCTTGGGTGACAATGACAAAATATGTTTGGAGGGGTCAAAGTGAGGTTTAACAGCCCCAACTTGCAAGCACTGCTGCATCATGCTGCAAAAATACAGGTTTGGTTCATCACACAAATAAGATTTTCTTAAACTTCTACTTTTCTACTACCTAACTAATTAAATGCATTCATTTTCAGATTTTTTTTTTTTTTGTTTTGATCCAGAGATACAGTTGGCTAACATTAAGCTTTAAAGGAGTCCAGAATGCAAAGCTGCTGAAAATGTGTTGCTATGTGTTAAATCTGATGATCGAGTCTACCAATAAAGGGCTGATATGTTCAAACAAAGTTACAGCAGAAGATTGTTGATGGTCATAAAAACTTTAAGGATGGAATTTTATTGCCAAGATGTATAAACAAATAATAGAGGGGGTGTAAAAACATATTCATGGCCTGTATGGAACTACGGGACAGAAAATCTGCAGTAAATTCAAACTTCTACAACTAATTATGAGAAGTTTATTATTATTTTTTTTTATATATAAATTGTGGTTCATGTGCATCTTTAAAAGCCTAACCCTATATAAATCTTAGGTTATGATGAGTTTCTGCATCTTTTTAACCAGCACTACTGATTTTGTTCTATAACACCTCAGGCTCTCACAGTTTAAATTGTCAAATGGTTTTCCTTAAAAGTAAAACAATTAACATCTTAGTCTTGCAGCATGAAAAAGGACAAAAGTGTATCTCTAAAGCACCAAGTCACTAAACTTTTAACCTGCTGCTGTTAAAAGTCAACCTTCCACACCGTTTCTCATCAGGAATCTCGTAACGACCACAGATTTGTCCTTAAAGCATAAATAAAAAGCTAATAAAGAACACTCCGGTTTGAAAAAAATGAAACCATAAAATCAAGGCGAAGGGAAGGTTTCCTCATCTGCCATCAGAGGAGAGTTTTCCTCCAGTGGATAAAAATTGAGCTCAGCTCATATTGAACTGATAGGCTGTGTCCGAACATTCGCCCTAATCACTATATAGGAAACTATATAGTGGTTGCGCCATTTTAGATAAGTGTCCGAATGTCTAGTGGATGAAAAAGAAGTGGATTCAAAATTTACCACAATGCACCTTGAAAAGCAGTGATCATCCTTTGTCACTAGACGAGCAGATTTATCCTGGATTGCTTTGCGAGGAGCGCTTTCCTCGCAAAGCATTATGGGGTTTGTTGTCACAGCAGAAACAACAACATGCAGGGAGGAGGAGTCATGTGAACAATGAGGAGCAAAAAGCAGCGATCATATGTCCAAACGGTCAGTTAGCTGAGTTCCCTATAATGTCCACTATATAGTCTATATAGTGATGGAGGGATGTAGGGGTTAGAACCGACGTTCGGACACAGCCATAGTGTCCAAACCTCTAATCCAAAATTGAGTCCATCTAGTCTGAAAATTAATGTTTCTATACATAATCTTGTGTAGAAAACTACATGAGGCTTGACTGCACAGGTTAATACTGGTATCGTCCTCTCTTCCCTCCATGTCCTCCATAATCTCCATGTCTGTTTTGTCCTCCTTGGTTCCATCCGCCTCCCTTCCAACCTCCACCGCCTCCCCACCCGCCTCCTCTGCCTCCTTGACCCCAGCTGCCTCCTCCTTGCCCTCCTCCACCACTGTGCCCTCCCCTTCCTCCTCCATCTTGCCTCTTCTGCCAGGGGGGCATCTCTGGTGGCGGGGGTTCTATCTCAGAGGGGCGTCCACCTCGATCCGGTACTCTTCCCATCAACACCTGTGAAAACAACAGAAACAATGATCGTCTCTGATAGCAGGCTAATCAAGTTAAAGCCTTATTTGTTACATGTGGAAGTGCTAATCAGTTTCCTTCACCTTGTTGACAGCACAAACAGTCTTCTCCCGGCTAGAACCGCTGCTGGTCTTCACCACGTTGCAGATGTCCTCCCTTGCAGCCAGAAGCTCAGCCATGTCCACTGAGGGCTGAGGCTGCAAAGCGTGCCTCTTGGGCTGGTAGGCTCTGGCCATGCTGTCCACCTTCACCTGGATAAACAAAAGCTCAATTTGAAGCAAAGCTTGTGTTTTCCGCTCTTTGGTTTGGAAACAAGTTTGACAACTTGCCTTGGCTCTGTCCGACCAGCCGAAGGACTGGACAGTGACGTCCAGCCGCTTGATGAGCATCCGGCGGCGGCATTCGTACTCCGACGACAGAACCTTGTTGATGTCGTGCAGCTTCTCCTACAGAGACACTTCAGTGAAAACTGAGCTCTTCTGGAATGTCAAGCTCACAGAAACACGTTTCCTCACCCACTGGTCACTGCTGAGAGCCTTCTTCAGCACTGGCTTTCCAACGGAGCCATTAGGAAGATCTTGAAGCAAATTTTCCACCTGAGATAACCATTTTGAAACATTCAGCATACGCAGCAACAAAAAAAAAAAACTGCATTTTTCTTCTTAAAAAGAAGAAACTCCTAAACTTCCACATGAATATTTTGTGTCTTAAGGAGGAAAAGCTTTCCATAGATAAAAAGGTTCTTAAAAAGTCATCCAGGCTCTGAAGCAACAGAACAACAAGTCATATAAAAAAAAAGAAAACGCTAAAGTTAGCCTGTTTTATGTTCAGCTAAATGGAAAAACTAAAGCTTAGAAAAAAAAAAAAAAGAAGAAGCTTTGTCAATAAAAGATAAAATGGGATGTTTATTGTGATGGAGTGTCAAATTGGTATTTATTTTCCTCCACATAATGTGTCCAAGTGCGCGGCTATTAACCTTACGCTGCAAGCTGGATTGTTGTGGGATCTGAGTTTTCAGTCTTACAAAAAAATCCATCTTACAGGACTCCTGCTAATACGTCCATCTAGCAACCAGCAAGTCGGATCAAGGACATGCCAGCAGTGTTTTTATGGGCGGGGCTAGTGGGATTGATGACTGTCAGAAGGGCCTCGCCATGGCATTACAAACATGGCTGCGCTGGAGGACTCGCCTGCCGATACGCAATTGACTCGTTTTTAGTAAAACAGCGACAATTTCTCATTTTGAAAATGGAGTAAGGAGAAGCACTATGTGCATTTAAGGATGGGAAACGTCCATTTCACTGCTACGATTGGCTGAAAGCGTATTATGGAAGGCGGGTACTAGCTGGCATGTTATCCAATCAGCTTAAAGTATTGCACTAAACCTCCCTCTTTTTCACAGACAGTGAATGGCAGCCATCCCAGATTGATAAAACTCGCTTCTTCACACATCGATCTGGTTAACTGCCAGGTTAGGTGGCTACTGGTGCAAATGCTTAACGGCTAAAAGAAATACAAATATAAGCCAAATGAAAGTCCTTATCTCAACTAAAGTGATTTACAAGAAATAAAAACAGCCCATAACACCAGGCAAGTCCTGATGACCCTCATATTAACCATCTGACTGGCCTCACCTTGTTTTGTAGTTGAGAAAAAAACTCTGCTGCCCCTTTTCCTGCAGGCTCCAGTAGCTTCAGTGTTTTGCAGATTGCTGAAAGCTCCTGTTGACCCAGACTCTCAACCTGGTGATTATCACAGCCTCGCCCGCCGCTCACAATTATAGCCGCCTGAAGCTCAGAGCTCAAAAACACTAAAGAAAAACAGACACCCATTTTATTTGCTTTGTTCACTCACGGGGTGCATCAAAGAAGGTGGCTACATACAGATAATTTTCAGATGGTCTTTTGTAGTCAGCGTGCTTCCCCGGAGAACACCAGAAACCGCTCCTTCAAAGGGACACTGCAGCTCCTTCAGCAAACCACTCATCTCCACCCGCAGGCTGTCCATGTCATCTGAAGAGTCGGAAGGTTTAAAAAATTGTAAACTCATTAAAAATACTTTAAAAAGTTCATTCACATGCCTTTTACATTTTATCATGTTACGACAACAAACTTATACATTTATTATTGCAGGAATCTATTTGATCGACCAACAGGCTGTAGCATACAGCTTTAGGGGAAATTTGGATCACCATCTCCTAAAACTAACCCATAAATAAAACTGTAAAAAGTCTCAGTACATATGTGTTCTCGCACCTTTGAGTTAATTTTTTGATTAATCAAGTTTGGCTTGAATCCCATCCTATCTAAGTGTGTCTCTACTAGCTTTGCATATCTACAGGTGGACATTTTCCTACATTCCTTAGTAAAACACTTTCATTAGAGTAACTTTAGTGCTTCCAAACAGAGATTTTATAATATTGCCAGGTTATCAGGATTTTGTTCTCAAAACCATGATGCTGCCACCACCATGTTTTACTAAGCAGTGGAAATGTTATGCATGTAGACTACAAAGTGTATTCATCATTAGAATGAGTTAAAATTGGTCAAATGGACATTAGAGTGAAGGGTTATAAAAACAGTTTTTAGGTTTATATAGTTCACCTGCTCCAGATGTAATGCTTTCCTCCAGACCACACAGGAGCATCAGTCTAGATGTCAACCACCGACAGAGGTCCACATACTCCCGTGAGGAAAGGCCTCCCTCTGCGGCTCCAACCAGCGCCTTCTCCTCCAACAGAGGACCGTCATAACTGCCAGACAACCGTCAGGAATAAAACACAGACACATGTCAGACTTTTTAAAACGTACACCCCGTAGCCCGTTACTTCAGCAGCGCTCAGTGCAAACAGTACCACCGATTGAGTGTCCGACCTGAGCCGACCGCTTACCCTACGTGCTAACAGGGGTTTCACTTACCCGAGCTGCTCCAATGAGTCCAAGATGTCACACTCCATCTCTAATCTGTCGCCTTACTAAAACATGGCGAAGTTAGGGGCGCCTGTTTGTGAACATCAACACGATTCGAAGCCATTCATTTCCACCATAACGCCGTGCACACGATACGTTCCGTAAGCTTCATGTGTCGGAGTGAAACAAGGACGGTAGAAAAGGTTCCGCCACCAGGATTCTTCTTCTTGTCTTGTTTTGCTGCGTTTAATGGCGGATGGCAAACAACTTTTCTGTGTGCATTACCGCCACCAACTGGTGAGGAGTGTAGATCAGAACGCCCCTGTTCATAAAGATACGTGTATTTTTTTTATTTTTTATCTATATATCTATAATATAACTTTACAATACTAAATCCTCCTAATTATTCCTGTTAATATTAAACATCTAAATAAATATTGATACTTTTTTTTTTACTTTTTCTGCAGAATATCTATCAAATCAAATCAAATTTCTTCTTATTTAGATCTCTAACCAAATTCTTTCTTCATACTTCTTACATCACTACATGTTCTACTGTTTCGTCTTGATTATTATGTGTCTATATGACCATTTTAAACAAAATGACAACTTCCACAACTAGAACAAAATGAATGTCTAGAAATTAATTTCAGATCTCCAAATTCCTATTATTACTGGTCAGCATTTGTATTATTTTAATCATGAAAAAATATTTTACAGATATACATACATTTTCAATCATGTATAAATGTCAGAACGGACACTTAAAATGTGTAAAAAAAATTCTAGATGTATAAAACTTAATTCTTACCATTATAATTTTTATTTTCTTTCTAAAATTCAGTTTCTGCTACAAAAATGTCATTAAAAAAATAAATTATTGAAGTTAGATGTAGGAGTGTGATTTTGATCAGGAAAAATCTTATTTTAGTGATCTACAAATGGAACAACAGGGAGGAGTGCCGTTAATAAATGTAAAAACGGCCTGCCATAGCCAACTTCATATAACTGTATGCATTAACTCGAGCAACAATGTTCTACTTCGCCACCCTCCTCTCCTTTTTAGCTGCAGTGCTGTTTCTCTGTCTTTTCATTAAACACATTCTTTTTTATTTTTTTGCATTTCTGCATTAAAATGGGGTGAAATAGGCACTTCCTGTTGCCTGTTGTCATGGTGACTCGTCAAATCGGTGCTCCACTGATAATGGCTTTTCATACTTGTTGCACATGCGTTTAACTCTGAGTGGACCTAGTTAAAATATATTGAACTAATTGATAGCAGCCATTGTGAAACTGAACACTCAGATTCCCAACCTTTGGCTAGATTTATTTAGAGTTGCGGATTTGAATCTGAATTTGTTAAACCTGCTTTATGAAACGGACCCCAGGTCAGAATACAAACATATGCAATAAAAAGTACAAAAAGATTAAAATTCACCATTTTATTATGATAATGTTATTTGATATGTCAAATTACAAGTGTATGATGTAACATAAAAACAGTTACAAACATATGTATGCATATTTACATTATATATTTATGAAAAGTAACAAGCTACATCTGTATAAAGAAAATACAACTATGACATGAGTTATTGGTTCTCTAAATTATACATCAGATACTTGGTATTCTCAAACCATGATAATACCTAGACATGTAGAAACCAATTAAATCCGGGATGAGTGATGTTAAATCGTAAGATGGAAACTAAGATGGACGTGAGGCACTTTTTTTTTTGAGGTTGTCAGGATGCGAAAGCTGATGGCACAAGGAAACTCAAAGGAAACACAAATGTTTGGGAAAAATGCAGAAAGAGAAAGGAAAAAAAAACAAAAAAACAGGCAGTGTTTTATAGAATCGTTAAGAGTAGTACCATTTATACTGCAAGTTTAAAAAAAAACAAAAACACAAATGTCTTCCACTATTTAGAACTAATCACAAATGTTACACCAAGCGCTGTAAAGAAAAGAAAAAAAAAAAGCTTACACATTATCAGTGCACCAAAGCATCGGAGAATCGAAATCAAAACCACCCCACTGCTGTGAAAAGCAATCTTTTTTTTCTTTAAACAATACACTGAAGAGAAAACGAGTTTATATAGCTTTTTTCTTTCTTCTTTCTTTTTAAAAAATCTACACAATGTCAAGAATGTACACCTGGATGCATTCCCAAAGATATGCACAATTTCCAAGATCGAAAGAGGATAAAAGACTAGCAGCAAAGTGGTTAAAACTGAAGGCTTATACAACG